TCGGGGATACATATATATATATATATATATATAATATATATATATATATATATATATATATAGAGAGAGAGAGAGAGAGAGCAAGACATACTCGGGGATACATACATATATATATATATATATATATATATATATATAGAGAGAGAGAGAGAGAGAGAGAGCAAGACAAAGAAAGAGAGAGATGGAGAGAGACAGAGAAAGTAAGAAGAGAAGTTAAAACCTGAGGATAGATAGATAGATAGATAGATAGATAGATAGATAGATAGATAGATAAGACAAACTCGGGGATACATATATATATATATAATATATATATATATATATATATATATAGAGAGAGAGAGAGAGAGCAAGACATACTCGGGGATACATACATATATATATATATATATATATAGAGAGAGAGAGAGAGAGAGCAAGACAAAGAAAGAGAGAGATGGAGAGATGGAGAGAGACAGAGAAAGTAAGAAGAGAAGTTAAAACCTGATAGATAGATAGATAGATAGATAGATAGATAGATAGATAGATAGATAGATAGATAGGGTACATCACTCTCCTCGTACACCATTACTTGATATCATCTTTATATGCCTCTGGCTCAATTGAAAGATATGTAAATATCTCCAACATAAGACAGGTGACACTTTGATTCCACTCACGTTATATGCATCAATATAAATATGTATGCGCACATTTTATGTATTGTCATGTGTCACTCAAGACATAAAATTTACTGCTTGCACTATTCAAGAAAGTGTTTAAAACTAATAGCTAGAATTAGTGAACACAATTAAGTTATTTTCTTTCATTACTTCCTCTTGGTCGGACGATCGTCCACCCCTGCTAGCTTACCACCGCACGTTCACTCACCTGAGCGGAAGTGAAGACGTCACCTTCCAAAAATAATCATTACTTCATCGATATTTATAGACAATGACGTCGTGCTGTAGGTGCCTGTGTCCGTGTGTTCGACTGTCAGGCAACCACGCATGACACCATTGACGTCGCAAGTATGTGGGTTTTTCTTCTTTTTTTTCCTTTTTTTTTTTTTCTATTGCCGCGCTGAACGGCTTAAGTCACAGGTAAATAACTCTTTGTCGCCGTGTTCAAACTTTCTTGTGCCCCCCCCCGCCTCTCTTTTTCTCTCTCTGTCGCACACAAACACACACACACACACAGATAAAGTTTTTTTTCTCACTCGATCTCACTCTAACTCAATAGCTTGTATATTGCTATCTCGATCTTTTAACATATACCTATGAATCTGTCACTCTCTCTCAGATATGTCACATATGTATCGATATTCATGTGTATGTGAGTGCATGTGTATATATATATATATATATATATATATATATATATATATATATATATATATAAAATATGGCCTGAAAATTACGTTTAAGCATGAAACATATACAGTGTAACCCGGATATAAGAGACCCGGATATAAGAGAAACCCGGATATAAGAGAGATTTTCTCTGGTCCCAAATTAGAGCCCATACTTACCTAAACAAAATAGACCAAACCCGAATATAAGAGAAACCCGGATATAAGAGACTTCTTCTCCGGTCCCGACAACTCTCTTATATCCGGGTTACACTGCATTTAAATACGCTCTATCCCTGATATCGTGCACTTTAACTCATAAATATAGTATACCTTAAAACTATATCTATTATACACACACACACACACACACGCACACACACACACACACACACACACACACACATATATATATATATATATATATATATATATATATATATATATATAATGTCCGGCTACTTCCTTTTATCCGAGCAGACTCCTCTGATAGGGCGGCGAACCAGTCCCTGTCGCAGACACCTGCTTAGGCAAATTTTTGTTTATTCAACGCCCACAGAGCCCACTTGTGGTTTACACTGTAACTATCCTGAGCATAGTTACAGTTACTAGGAGAAAACGCATAATCTGTCATGATCAACAGTTTGAACAAGGTCAGCGCGGTCAAATCCTCGGTCACGATGACTTGTTGCGTCAACCCAATTTCACTCATGGTCCATGTTATGGTTTTATCGGGCAATTTGAAAAAAGTTGTCAGACGTTGGAATCACCTATAACAAGAATTCATCTCTGATGAAATTCGAACCAGAAACGATCGAACCACTCGACCACGCGACACACACACACACACTCGCACACGCACACACACACACAAATATATATATGTTCAAACCTATCAATCTAGTTTGTTTATATTTGACTATTCATAGAATATCGTTATATCTAAGGCACCCTATCTACCTGTCAGTCTTTTGTCTCTCTCTCTCTCTCTCTCTCTCTCTCTCTCTCTCTGTCATTCGCTCTCTCTCTTTCTCTTTCTCTCTCTCTCTCTCTCTCTCTCTCTATATATATATATATATATATATATATATATATATATGCACGTTTATTTCTCTTATCGCCCTCAGGCTTGTTCATATATCTATTTGGTCATATCTATTTATCAATCTCGGGGTATTTACTAAGCCCAAATACAAACAGTCAATCACGAACGCCTACTTAAATTTTACTCGTTTTACTTGTGTTACCGGCGGCGAAATAAAAGACAGGGTTGACGTCAGAGAAGGGTCAACGGCTTGAAGCTCGCTGTCACACCAAGCGACTCAAAAAACACTGTTGACAATGTGTCCTTCTCCCAATATTCATATATATATATATATATATATATATATATATATATATATATATAAATTATACATAGATGTTACAGTTTTAGAGGAAATAATATTAATTTAAATTTCTTAGTGTTCTGTTCTCTCTTTTTGTGCGCATGCGTAGTTGCATTAACGTAAACATCAGTATCGTCCGATGAAGTTCTAAAAGGACGAAACACGTCACACGAAAACTATTTACACTTTGTCATATATCCGAATATATATATATATATATATATATATATATATATATATATATATATATATATATAATAAATGCGAATGTTACTGTGTCACACTTTTTCAACTAAATAGACAAAACTCTCTAAATTTCAATAGTTCATTTCAAATGAAAAAAATGATTGTTCTTAAATTACTGCGTTTCAAAATAAAAATGTCCGTCTTTTCAACTTTACTCCAACCCAACATATCATACCATTTTGGAATCAGGCTGACTCCCTGAACAAATTAAAAACATTTGCAGACCCGTAATCCTGAAATTTGGGATTACCAAGTTTTCATTACTGCAATTGTTTTCGGGGCTTTTCTTATGTGATTTTTTGCGACGAATTTTTTTGTACGATAACAATTTTTATAACTTTAATTATTATGACAATAATTTTTATAACGAGATCTAATGAAAGTCACCCATGAAATAAAAATAATTGTTTGCACAGAAAGTAAGGACCTGCGTACATCAAATTGTCTTTAAATTACGTGGCGGCAAAAGAATTATTGTTGGACTTCTCAAAGTCAAACTTAAATATTAAGTCAGTACTTAAAGGCAGCGATCAGTTTTGAGTTTTTCTGTAGTTTATTGTTACCTATCACATCTACACCACCCTACCTATTGTGATGAAGGCGTAATGAAGAACCCTCCCCAGCAGTTAGCTTAAATGCCGCCCGATAGTTGAAATTGTCCAGTATTCACTGTCATGTAGGAGAATTGATATTACATATAAGTTCGGTATTCTTTTCTTTGTTTTTGACAAAACTGTCATGTTCCTTGATACTTTGTTCTCAACCAGTGGGAATCCCCACCCCGCTGGGTGGAAATTTCAGTGTTTCAGGGGTGAATCTTGTACTTTTTTCACGAGTTTCTCATCGGTTGTAATCTTCATCAGAATAAAATCGATTTAAATAACCTGATTTTTTATTGAACTTTTTCTTTATTGAATTTCAGTACCCTGGCATTCTATTGAACCTTTTGTTTATTGAAGTATGGTTCAGTTTATTTCATAAATAGTTATGAGTTAAAACAAGTTAATGTAGATAAATTAAAGTTTTAAAATCCAACAACGTTTTCGATTGCTATTAAATTTGTAAAGAAAATAATCTATGCCAATATGTATTCAGTAAAATGAAAAAGAATGAAGATTTTTCAATAATATATACATATTGTTTGGAATACACCTTTTAAGTCGGACAACCTTTGAAATGCGGGGAATGAAATCCTGATTTATGATGAAAAGGGTGCATTGAGCAAGAAAAGGTTGGAAGTTATCTTTCGCCAGTTCACTGCGCCTTCGGATTTCGGTGTCATATTTTTCGTTGTCTTTCATAACACTTCCCAGATATTTAAATTACTGTACTTGTTTGTTTCTTAGCTCATATCTTGAGTTGTCCGTCTTGCTAACGACAGTGTCTTACTAAAATCAACTTATTGAATATTATACTTTGTAATAAATCTGGGTCCATTTGGATCGAGCACAAGTATGTTTATATATTTTGCCATTTTGAAAAATGACATTAGCTTTACATATAGAGACAGCATCTTAGATATAATGTAATTGAGTCCTTCCTTTAATATGTTTGATTAACAATAACAATTATGGCAAAATTACAAACAAGACAGCAAGAATCTTTTGATCTCACTCAGAAAAATCACTGTGTTGACTTGTTAAATTGAAAATATCGATTACGTTCGACAGAATGAATAAATAAAGAATGAGGGGAAAACATTTATAGATTGAAGATTTTAGAAATTTCAAATGAAACTAAATAAACCGTGAAACATTAAATTTATCAAGGGATTCCTACTTGTTCCATGTCCCTCTTTCTCTCTCTCTCTCTCACTCTCTCTCTCTCTCTCTCTCTGCATATATATATATATATATATATATAATCGATTTTCATACTATATATATATATATATATATATATATATAGTATGAAAATCGATTCAGGCGTGAAATTGACAGTCACCGTGCAGTGTTGATTTCTATATCCACACTGTTTATATTTACAAACTCTGTATGCTCGACATTGACCACTATTCCTCTTAAATATACCACATTTTAAAAAGTAATAGATAGATAGATAGATAGATAGATAGATAGATAGATAGATAGATAGATAGATATACTTGAATGGACTTAGATACTCACAGGACATATTGAAGGCGACAGGAACAGAGAGAAAACTGCGAACGACCTCCCTAATGATCATGTCTAAATGTATGGCAGAACAGACAAAGTGAGAAAAAGCAAATAGACACATATTGCTAAGAGCTACGAAGAATAGAAAGTCGTGGAGATCCATGATCAACCATGACCTGAAGAGACACGGCACATTCTCAATTAAACCTAATACTCTCACACGCCCAACAAGTCAGAAGATTTGAACAGCAAAGGCGAACCAAACGTAGTGTTAATTTTTACTACAATTCTTTCTGCCACTTTGGGACTCTGTCTACTAACAGCAGCCAATGAAATAAGGCAAAGATTATAAAAACTGTTAGAGTAGATCATTTTTATGTTTAAAAATCATTTTTAGATGTCCTTATATATATATATATATATATATATATATATATATATATATATATATATATATATATATATATATATATATATATATATATATATATATATATATATATATAAATATTAAAACTTAAAACATATAAATCGGTTATAAATTTATTTCAGTAGATATATATATATATATATCTATATCTGTCTCATTAGACTGACTACATTTTATTAAATGATTCAAATTTAACCAGACAATTTGAAAATAAACCAAATAACAACAACTTTTTTTTTGTTTGGTTTATTTTAGACAATTTGAAAATAAACAAAAAAAAATTCTTTTTTGCCAAATTTATTTTCAAATTGACAATTTGAAAATACCCGTCCCCAAAAAAGCAACATTTTTTTGTCTGATTTATTTTCAAATTGTCTGGCTAAATTTGTATCATTTAACAAAATGTAGTCGGTCTGATGAGGCAGGTATGTATATATATATATATATATATATATATATATATATATATATATATATATATATATATATATATATACTGAAATAAATTTATAACTGATTTATATGATGTCTTGTTTTTCCTTGCTATTATTTATATTGCTCTGTATATAAATTTATACATTGAGCTCTCTTCATGGATTTGACCTCCTTGGAATAATCCTTGTGTGTGTGTGTGTGTGTGTGTGTGTGTGTGTGTGTGTGTGTGTGTGTGTGTGTGTGTGTGTGTGTGTGTGTGTGTGTGTGTGTGTGTGTGTGTAAATTATGTAAGTGGGCACTGTGGTTCAGTACCGAATGTCGACAGTCTGTTTCATGCTTGAAAATAATTTCAAATTACCGTATTCGAATTCACAGTTATTCCTACTCAATAGCCTCTAGAACAAATTGAAAAGTAACTATTAGCGCCTACTCATTAACTGTTTGGATAATAAATTAGACCATGCTACCCATAATGCACCATTGTGCAGCATATATGAATAACCGAGCTAAAACATAACGCACATGATCTAAAGATTAAAAAGACTGTCCCTACCCCTGCTTCGACACCAGTGTCCACTTTTATATATTACATCTCTGATACTGACCGCTTTAACCCATAAATATACCATACCTTAAAACTATATTTTTATCATATATATATGTGTGTGTGTGTGTGTGTGTGTTGTTGTAAGTGTGAAAGATGGATTTAGAGGTGTAAGCCTAAAACAAAGAAATCTTTCAATATATACCTTACTCGACGAGTAAAGTCGATATATCTATGATAGGTGATGAAAAGATCTCAACCGGAACCCTTTCTCAAGAGCTGACCAAAATCAGAATTCTTGGTCAGTCAAGGAACTTTTAAAGCATCCTTCCATGTATGATTTTAAATCTTGACAAACTTTAGCCGACCACATGACCCCAATCACAGTGCACATTGGTGAGAGGTCTGCGTGGCGAGATTGTTAACTCTAACACCACAAGAAGTCGTCCTGAAATCTTTTTAATACCCTTTGTGCACAAGGTGAGGGCAGTGGTAGATGAAGTTTTAAGGAAAATTTATTTGATTTCTTCTTAATCCCGTGTATCTATAAATATTCCAATATACAGCGAAAATAAAAATGTGACCTGCGTCGCAGCTAGAATTGTTATTTATTTCTCACAACTTTGTGTTTACTTGCGCGCAAATAAATCTATCTTTTCTTCTCCTGGCTATGGGTTAATGAACTCTCTAACCGTGGTCGGTAATCAATCTAGGAGAAGGAAAACCCTCAATTCAAAATCGTGAAGAAGACAACAGAAGACAATGACTCCACTATCTAATCAAAGGCGTCATATCAATTCACAGATAATAAAAAAAGAATCTGTGGAGAGCCATGATCGCTTACGTCCTGAAGAGCTATGGCATTAAAAAAAAAAATTAACAACAAAAGTTGATGTTTGTGTTATGTTAAAAATCTAGATTTTGAAGGTTGATTTTCTAAGTCTACCCCCACTTACAAAATGGCGTTACACAATCTTTCAAGCATTTGTCACCCTTTTCCCATAGTCAAAACGTCGCAAGCCACTCGCTACCCTATCGCTATTTCCATGGCAAATGTTCTGATGGTTATTTTTTCAGTGTTGTTTAGATGTGGCACCAGGCCCCAAGCATGGGGCACCTAGTGAGGATCGAACACACTTTTCAGTTGTAACTAATCTAGCGAGACAAGCTTGCTTACCATTAAACCACGCCGATGTGCCCTGGCAAACGTTCTGATGAGCTGCATCCCTTACCATTACCTTCGTATTCCATTAGTAAGAAGTGGGTTGAAGCTTCTTTCAAAGAATGGATACTTTGTGAAACAAACTCCCGAGACAACTCTCATACAACAACCTCCTTCAGTAAGCCTCTACCTAGAGTGGCTCTTAGGGTTTGTATTGCGTGAAAAAAAAGATAAAATGAAATTGTGCTGTACTAAGCTAAGCTTAGAAAATATCGAAAAAAAAAAGAAAGAAAAAGAAAGATGGTAGCGAAGATAAAGAAGAAAGAAAGAAGACTGTGGAAGAAAGAAAGAAAGAAAGAAAGAAAGAAAGAAAGAAAGAAAGAAAGAAAGAAAGAAAGAAAAAGATAATAAACGATATAAAGAAGGAAGAAAGAATACGGTGAAAGAAAGGAAGAAATCATTCAATGGAGAAAGAAAGAAAAAGAAAGAAAGAAAGAAAGAAAGAAAGAAAGAAAAAGATAATAAACGATATAAAGAAGGAAGAAAGAATATGGTGAAAGAAAGGAAGAAATCATTCAATGAAGGATGGAAAGAAAGAAAGAAAGAAAGAAAGAAAGAAAGAAACGAGGAAAAATAAAAAGAATGAGTAGAAAATGGCTGAAGAATGGATATAAAGAAAGACGAAGATGAAAAGAAATATTTTGTTTGTTTTTTTTTTTTATCAAATAACACATTTGTTGTTTACTTGAAAGCTACCACACGGATGTTTACCAAGTTTATTTAAATGATGTCACTACCTTATGATTGTTTTGCTAAGTTACAACAGCTAATCAGTATTATGTCCTTACCCCTGACATTTAAAAGAGAAAAGAGATAAAAAAAAAATCACCAGCAACATAATAATATATATTTTACTACTTGTACAAGCACAACTGTCAGCCCTGCTTATCACCTGTGCCCCTCGTCTTCCACTGTCTTTTTTTTTTTTTTCGTGTAATCATTCCACAACTCATACCACTTGACCCTCACCTTCCACTGCTTACTGACCTGGGTCGCCAGAATTAAATACTTTTTTTTCTTTTGCTGCTTTTAGACGACACGAACATACCTGTTTTATTTTGTTTGCTTTTTTTTTTATCTTTTCAATTTTCGACCAATTAAATGAGTGTAACGTATGAGTTGAAGGGTGTGTTAAATTATTTGTCTTTCTTTTTCTTCTTCTTTTGCTATGTACATGAACATGTTTTCACAGGAATCTGTTTCTCGGTGAGAATTAATAAAGTTCGGAATTCCCCCCGTTACTAAAAATAGCTCATTTCTAAGAGGCGTGGATAGATCGGTGTTCATTAAGCCTGGGTGAGTGACACAAAGACTCAAGCATAGGGCATAGAGTGAAGATCAAATTTGATTCACTGCAGCAATGATCAGAATGACTGACTCGCTTACACATTATCTTACGACAGGCCCCGAATTCTCACACATATTAGATAAAATCTAGTAAAGATTATTGAGGAAGGCAATGAGAATTATAGTTGATATTTATTAAGCGTGACACAGTTTTGAGCCAATCACTGGACACTTCAGTGTGGATCAAAATAACTATGCAGTAATAATGATGTTCGAGTTCAGACAGTTTCTTAACGAAGTGTCGTTAACACACACACACACACACACATGCAAGTTTCGTTGAAAATGATTGACAAGGTGCTGTTTTCGACAAAACTTGCATAAAAGGGATTTCTGCCCAGATACGCAATATATATATATATATATATATATATATATATATATATATATATATATATATATATATATATATATATGGCAAATGTATAAGACAATTAAACGGAATTAAGAAAACATCAATGTTCAACCGACCTCAGGGGAAATAAAATTTATTTTCTGTAGAAAATCGTTCAAGTCGTCGGAAGATCGTGTGAGTATAAAACTCGGGTTATCACTAGAGCCATCCTTTCATAGTATTTAACGTTGTTAAACGTTTTTTGCTCTGTTTGGGCAACCTAGGCTTTTAGCACTTAACTGAGTAGGTAGGTTTGTCGTTAGGCTGTTTTTATTTTTATTTCATCAGCGTTATTGTTTTTTTTTTAGGGAGGGGTCGAGACTTTATCTAGATAAGAGTTTTAAGATTTTGTCAAGTTGTCCGTTGGTTCCATAAAGTTCTCGAAGGTTCCACAAAATTCTAGACGGCTCCAGAAAGTCTTAGTATAACTATGCTTATATACTATTTTAGAAATTTCGTGTTGGGATAACATTAAAAAAAAAATAAACTGAATTGAACCTTTCTTCATTATTTTTAACAAAAGTTCATTGAATACAGAAAATCATTTAGTTTACAAAAATCAAAACTCTAATATATATATATATATATTTAATTTAACCGCTATTTATTAATGTTAGATTGTTTTTTTCTTTCTTTGTGTGTGTATGTGTGTGTGTGTGTGTGCGCGCACACGCGCGTGTGTATGTACGCGTGTGCGTGTGTATATGTGCGTATGTCATTTTAGAGACTACACGTGTTTCAGTCGACATTCCTTGTAGTTGTGGTTTCACTTTCTCGCCTTTTTTTTACAAAGGTGAACTTAATGTCCACCGATTCAGACACAAAATGTCTTATAATTATTGTTACATAGAAAGACACTTTTTCTTTAATAAGATTCTCTATATCTAGGCTGGTGGACATTAATGTCACTGTTTGGAGAAAGCGGATGTACCCTAAAATGCATATATGTGTTTGTGTGTGTGAGTGAGAGAGAGAGAGAGTGAGTGAGAGAGAGAGACAGAGAAAGAGAGTTAGTGACTGCTTGCTAAAATGTTTTCCTCTCCGTTAAGAATTGATTAATGAAAAATTCTGATATTTGGTCACGTATTTACATTGGCTCAAACAATAATCTTTGACCCTTGACACGAGTGGGTAATACCCAACTCAAGCAAAACAACAAGAAACCGGATAGATAGAGGGGGAGGGTGGTGGTGGAAAAGAGAAAAATTTATGCAAGCATGTGCTTGTGTTTGTGTGTGGGAGAGAGACAGAGAAAGTGATTTCTGAACGGAGATAAACTTAACGCATGCGTGTGTGTGTGTCTCTGTGTGTGTGACTACTTCTTGTTTTTTAGTGAGAGCCTGTACGTGACTATACGCTTTCCTTTCATCTGAACAATCTATAAAACTTTACCGATGATAGTCACTAAAAAAGCTTTATTTAACCCCCCCCCCGAGACATTTACGATATTCTTAACATAAATCTGTTTTTTTATGATATTGAACTTTTCAAGTGTTATTTCCCTAAAAAAGAAAAAGAACAACGTACAAAAGCGTACAAAAACGAATCAAATGTACCTTTAATACGAAAACGCTGTGTGTAAGGGAGAGAAAAAGACAGGTAAGGAATGGATGACGACCAGAAAGAAAAAAATATTTCAGACTGAAGAAAGATCGACAGTGTAATAGTAATTGAGAAAGAAAGACAGAAAAATTGATGTACCCACCAAAACGGCCGTTATCTAAGAAGTTACGAAAAAAGATTTGATGGGCCTGACAAAAACTCTGTCCTGGGTATGACGATAAACTACATCCGCGTCCTGGGTATGACGATAAACTACATCTAACAGCAAGGCCTCTGATCAGGAGGTTTTGAGGAGCGTGGAGCCACCTCTTAATTGTTGGTATTCCCAGGTCCACCCTGACCCGGGGTGGTAGCACCTGTTAGGGTTCCAACCATGGGCAAATAGTTAACCACCAAACTGGTGTCAAAAGACCATGAAAGTGCAAAAATAGGTTTTAATATCAGAAATATTTTGTAAAAAATTATTACCAACAATAAATTTTTAACGAAAAAAATATTACCAGCTATACATTTTTGAAAAAAAAAGTCTTACCAGCTATACATTTTTTGAAAAAAAATTTTACCAACGATACATTTTTGAAGGAAAAATAAAGGGTGTTTCATTAATACAGATTATTAACGGTTTTTTTTTCATTAAGACGGATCAAAGTCAGCAGTAAATAAATCAGTGTTATTGGTTAAAATTTATTTATTTCTCTGTTGGATCCTGTTATTTAAGTCATGGCAATTATGTGTGAAAAATAATATCACCGAAATGTCCGCCAAATCTGAAAGAAAAAGAAAAAGAATAAAAATCATTAGACGCTGAAACTTAATTCACATTGAAAATCGGTGCAAGTTATTGGAACACCCTTTATTACCAGAAATAGATCTTTGAAGAAAAAATATTACCAGAAATAGATTCTTTGAAGGAAAAAATATTACCAGCAATACATTTTTGAAAAAAAATATTACCAACAAAAAAATTCTTGTCGGCCTTAAACCCATTGAGGTTGATATGCCGTAAAACAAAACAAACCAAACCTGACAAGAACTCTCTATTGTATATTAATTAAAACGAGGGAATACGGTATATACACCTCTATATATCAGAACTCTGTTGTATATTAATTAAAACCGGGGAATATGGTATATACAACTCTATATATCACAACTCTATTGTATATTAATTAAAACGAGGGAATATGGTATATACACCTCTATATATCAGAACTCTATTGTATATTAATTAAAACGAGGGAATATGGTATATACAACTCTATATATCAGAAAAATGGCGGGTAATTGAATAACAAAAGAGATTTTTTTTCTATTTTATCATACAATTACACATCACATAAAATTCATAAATTTAAAAAATATATTAATTAATTTTTTTACTGTTATGTGAAGGCATTCACAAGGATAGACAAGCCTGTTCAGTACCTAAATGGGAGACAGCGTGGGAATACCAGATCTTCTAAGCTTGGATGTGCAGGTGGTGTAATGGATAATGGCTCGGAATTGTTAATTGGAGAGCCAAATTCCAATTCATTATATTCACGTGCACACAAATACCCTTAGGAAATGTATGAATCCACCTCTTATCCTCCCAGCTATGGGTTAATTTGTAAGACTTGTGTCAATAAAACACTATTATCTCACAAATTTGTGTACAAAATATTTAAATTTTGGCATTAAATAACATATAGAGATTGATATGCAGCTAAGCAAAAGCAACCAACCAACAACGATAGAGCAAAGTTTCCCACAACGATCTCAGCAGAGCCTTAGGACACCGTGAGTGAGGTCCAGGGCCTCCACACACCTTTCTATTATTTGCTTCATGCCATAATGAGGCTAGCGCCAAAAAAAAAAACACTATTTTTAAACACGAAATTTTTCAACACAAACCCTGACGTGTCAAAATAAGGATATGAATTAATTGCTACAATCGTTATACTTTTTGGATGAAAATAATTAACAAATTGATTTGTCTAATATTTCTTTTATTATATTTTGTTGGAATCAGCATAACGACGACAAACTTTCTAGAGTGTTATAGAGTAAGAGGCACAGTTTATGGGGATATAGGGGGGGGACAGTTGACCCTAAACTTGAACTCTTGGGAGTCAGTTCCACAAAGCGACGATCCGTGGAAAGAAACTAGTCAAGTGGAATTTACATCTCACCATTGAGGATCGAACCTTCTCGAAGTGATCCGCAAGACCACCATCGTTCTAACGTCGGTAACCTTAATAGATATTTCCTAAGTATAGTTTAGTCGGGTATAAGGTCATAATAATAGGGTATCCAGTATGGACTGAATTCAGTAAAGAGACATTTTAAATATCTAGGGTACATAATGGGGAAAGAGGGCTTGGAAAAATTGATACTCACAGGACAGATTGAAGGTAAGAGGGACAGATGAAAACAACACATAACCTACCTAGCGAGCTTGTATAAATAGACGGTAGAACAGGATTTAAAAGACAGGAAATCATGGAGGGCCATGATCGCCATCACACTGAATGAATGCAGCACATAGAAAAAGAAGACTAATAAAAACGAAACAGATACAAATAAATATATGATTACTCTACGTTAGGCGCCCCAATTATTGAGTGTGCGTCTTTGTGTGGTGGACAATTTCAGAGAACTAGAATATATTTATTCGTTAATATTGGAGGGAAAATGACGAGATCTCATTAAGGAAATATCTATCACACGCCTACGTGTACAAATACGGACACACACTTGCAATACACGTTAATAAACATAAATTACACTCACTCTCAAAGATATGAATTCTGGCTCGCTTACTCACTAAAAGCATATACGCACACAAAATGTCAAATCGTGAGAATTCTTCTGCGTCATAATTATGTGTGCTCTAATCCAATAAAGAATTTATGCTGGTACAATTAATGTGTGTGGGTGTTTTTTGTGGCAGACTTCTCGACGTGCGAACTTACAAAAGACTCTTGGTAGCACCAAACACAACTTGAAAAGAGAAATCATGTCAGCTGTTCTCAATCATTATAATCGCACCTTGAGCCTCTACACAAGCGAAACAGAATACCTGTGCCAAAACAATTTTGTATCTATATTGTCTTTTCTTCTCTGCTGTATCTCGTGTTTTCGAGATAACAGAGGGCAATAAATAAGGAAGACAAACTCGTAGGTAAGTAATGAAATAGAAGGTTTACAACACGATGGTCCACTTAACAAATGACCTAATGCTAACTCGGTATTTACACGAGCTCCCCACAGAGCAAGATGTGGTACAAGGCCGGTTTAACATGGGTTTTTCCAAGCCCGTAGGCCAGGTTAAAAATTCCCTGTAGATCCCGTAATAACGGGATCGAGTCTGTGTACCTCCACAAACGAAACTCTGTTATTCGGCATAGCCTCGTCCGGGTTCCTCTCTCTGTTCGAAGGCAAACAGTTCGACAAGCACTAACTTCGCTTATTTACATAAACGGACGTTTCCATTCATTTATGCCCTATATGACATCTTCCCCTTTTGAGATTTCACTCCAGTGGGAGTCATACCTTTTATGTTTAGGGTTTATATCTAACCTATCTGGAGGTCGCCATTTTCTTTTCATGGATCGTTCTTGTTGCTGTTTGGGGAACGGGTACATCGAACAAGTCGAAGAAAACATCCATAAGTTCTTCATTGCAACCTTCTTCGTTGATGTATTTTCCTCGTTCGGTTTAAATGCCTTTTATGCACCCAATTTACACCCTTAATTAGTTATACTACGGTGAAGTGATGGATAGCGGCTCGAATTGAGGAGTCGGGGAGCCGAGTTCGAATCCCAGTCAAATCCATTACATTCACTTCTAATACCCTTGGGAAAGGTATGAATTCTCTTCTCTCTTCCTACGGGTAAATAGCAGGACAGACTGCGTTCTGTAGCCTCTGATGGCAACTGGTCTACCGCAGAAAGAAATGGCAACCTACTGCGGGAAAAAATCTGCCTCGTCAGTCATGTATCGAAAGGTACATGATCGCCCACTGACTGAAATTTCCGATGCGTTTGTCAATAACACCGCTCTCCCAATGTTCTTACCCATATCTATATATACGGAAATTTGTTACAATTACCCGATTTGGTTTAATTTTTCTCAGCTTTCTTTGTATTTGTCATTCTCCTTGACTGCACAAGAAATAAACCTTCTTACTTAGATGGCTCAGGTAAATGGCACCCTCATCCGAAAAAAGAAAAAAATATACACTGTTTTTCATCATTCGGACGATCTGGATAAAAGCGTTGGTTGAGTAATCTAAAAAGTGACTTGACCCAAACAGTTTTGAGTTCAATACCTGACCACAGCACAGGTAATAAAAACTTAGAGTCGAAATACTGAAAAAGGAATTAAGTGAAACTGAGATATCAAAAAAAGGCTTGGCACGTGGAATTAGAACAATCTAACCCCAAAATAAAGGGTCCGGTTCGAAATTCCAATGTATATCATCTGAAGAAGGCCGGAGTGTACAATAGCTGAAACATTGTGAATATGGCAATAAAGGTGAGAACAAACGATGTAAATCTTTACAATACTTCATCTCAGAAATATAAACAGACAGTTTATCTTTATTCAAAAGATTGAAAATTTTGGCAAAATACCTTTAATTCAGTATTTTTACATATATCCTTGTAGGTATCGAACAATTTTTTATGGTTTCAATATTCAGTAGCATGGCTTAGCCAAGGTAAGTTGTTTATTGCCTTTGTTTGTAGTTGAAGTGACATCATGTGATTTGACGATGTTTGGTGGAATGAAGATGATAGTTGGACTGATTGATTGGTGGATTTGTTTTTTTACGGTTTATCAACCTATTGTGGGCAATTTAAAACAGAAACAATACCTAGTATTCCCAAGTGGTCTCCACCTAAGTACTGACCGAACTCGACGCTATAACTTCGGTGATCTAACGAGAATAGATGATTTCAGCGTGACTTTACCGTAGGTATATTTGGACCGAATTAAATCTTGTGGAAAGTAATAGTGGAGTAGCAAAAAATATCTGGCACGAATAAACGATAAGCTTAAACGACTGGAGAAAACGGACGTCCCTAGCAGTGCAGCTCAAGAAGGAGCCTTGCTTGTCACCTAGTTAGCTTTTCCATGCATTCGAAATTATCAAAAATGATGTAAAGAATCTTT